GGATATTAATAGCTTCTACCTCATATTGTTACTATGAAAACTAGGTGAATTAATATATGTAAAGCTCATAGAATAGTTCCTGGAACATATATACATGTTATAACTTGTGCTGCAATTATTAAACTGAAATATAAAATAAATAAAATGTTTGTATATCTCTACTCACAAAAATATTTCTAATCCCATGGTAAAAATTATTAGACTTGAATTATTACTATTTCGAATTATACATTATTATTATTTTGAATTATGCATTTAGAAAGTTGTGATTTGCTGGGCATGGTGTACTGAGGCAGGAGGATCATGAGTTCAAAGCCAGCCTCAACAATTTAGCGAGACCCTAAGAAACTTAGGGAGACCTTGTCTCTAAATAAAAGAAAAGTGGGTTTGTGATGTGGCTCAATGTTTAAGCACCCCAGGGTTCAATGCCTGGTACCAGAAAAAAAAAAAAAAACAGACTTGGGCAAAGTAATTTAATCATTCTATGACTCACCAACCTCCCTGAAGGTGAGTAGGTTTGGGGCTCATTTTTTCTTTTCTTTCTGGTTTCAGCATTCCATGATTGAAATAAACTTCAATCATAAATCTGTAATCATTAGGGTAACTGATCTTAATTATGATTAATGCTACAGTTGTAAAAGTTTTTGCATCAAAATTCTCTTTGTAAAGCCAGACTATCTGATTCTCAATTGCATATTTCATATAATTTTAATTGATTTTAAATTATGTTTGTAATTTTTAAAGACCATGTGTTTTGTTTTTGGAAAACAGTGATATTAAAGTTTTTTTCAATTTAGCAACAAATAATTTTCTCATATAATTTAAAATGAAAACCTTTGTTTAAAAAGGGTACTTTAAAAAGGTATAGGAGATTAGCAGAATAGCTAAAGGGGAATGAAAGGATGAGAGAGGTGATGGGAAAAGGAAAGACAGTGGAATAAATGTAACACAAATTTCCTACATAAATATATGAATATATCACAGTGAGTCTCACTATCATGTACATCCACAAGAAATTAATTAAAAAAGAAAACTCTGGGTAAATGGCAGTAAGATCAATAGAGTAGGGAAAGTAGAGTAGGGGAGTAAGAACAGTAGAGGAGGGGAAGGAAAGATACTAGGTACTGAAATAGAACAAGATATATTCCATGCTTTTGTAATGGGCATAATGCATCCTATTGTCATGTATAAAAAAGAGTAATTTAATGATTACTTTCCAACTGCAATGTATTTTTGACAATATTTTCCTAACAAACTTTCCATTTAAAACTTTATAACTTTTGATAACATTTTCAAAAAGTATATATCCCACTGACATTTTCATTCAGATATTATTATTTTTTATTTCCAAATGCTTATGTTGACCAACATGTTATTTTGATGCAATAGGAAACATTGACTCATTGGAAGGTTTTATTTGATAATTACATGTTTAAAAAACAAGTTAGGGAAAATAAGGAGTTTTAATAGCATGATTCTAAAACTTCTCAATTCTGTGTCATCCATCACTGTGTTGAAAATATTAAAGCAAATGAATCTCACAAAATAAGTGATTTTTGAAGTAGTATTGGCAACTAAAATATGTAAGTTATGTCTTCAATATTTTGTACTGAAAATAAAAAAAATTAACTTCTCTAAAGTTGATCACTTTAAAATTAAAAAATAACACTACAACATTGCACCTTTAAAATTTTTCACTAATTTCATCTGCTAATTTTCAAGAGGAACTGTTAAAGTGAGTCAGATTTGACATAAGCAATGTTTCTTAACCTCTTTCTAAAATTTCAGAATAAAAGTTTTTTAAAACAACCATGGCCAAATATATTATCTATCCAACCAGTATTTTTTGATTATTTTTTTTTTAGTTATAGAGGGACACAATACCTTTATTTTATTTTATTTTATGTGGTGCCAGGGTTTGAACCCAGTGCCTCATGCATGCTAAGAAGATCTCTATCACTGAGCCACAACCCAGGCCCCAGGCAAACAGTGTTTTTATATATTATGTTTTAAAAAATATTTTTAGATTTAAATAGACACAATACCTTTATTTATTTATTTATTTATCTATTTATCTAGTTATTTATTTATTTATTTATGTGTAGTGCTGAGGATTGAACCCAATACCTGACATTAGCTAGACATGTGCTCTACCACTGAGCTACAACCCCACCCAGGATTACTTTTACATTTTTAAAGTATTGAAAAATAAATAAAACTATTTTGGAAAACATTATATGCAATAACCAAAACAAAACAACCACAAAAATTAAAAACAATTATCGCTCTTTGTTACCTATTGAAATTTATAGGTTCTAAACTCTGAGGTGTACCATTTGAGGTCCTAATTATCTGCTTCCAACAAACACCTTTCTCTTAAATTCATTACATATGACCTCTCCTCTTCAGTCAAGCCAGCACCTATTCTCTAGCCATTACTTTTTCCACATCTTCTTTGGTCATCCAAGGTAATCATCTGCTTCAGAGCAATTCAGAATTGATTTCCTCTAAAAGACTTTCAGAGATTAATATCACATGGAATTATTGGAATAAACCTAAGAGTAAAGGTAATGTTAAATATAAATCTATAAGGGACTATAGTTAAAATAAGACATTTAAGGTGAAGGCAGTCAGCAAAGATTTGGAGAAAATTGTTTTTTCTAATTTAAATTTGGAAACAGAATCTCTTTAATAGTTACTATGCATCATGTGCATTCATATAGAACATCCTCTTACTCATCTATTCTTTCTTTCCCCCCCCCCATGAAAAAAGTGCACAGAACATCATTTTGATCTGAATGAACTTAATTTCTTTGTGTACAAAAATTACCTTGTTTTTATTTGGCTTTGCTATATTAACAATAAACCAGTACTAAGAAGACAAGGACTGTTCCTTCTAATTTTTTTTTGTAATTCCCCTTGATTATCTGTAGTTCTCTTTCAAGTGAACATGCTATAAATGTCAAGTCTGTAAAATGCTGTGTGCATATTTGGTAGCAATAAAGAAAAAAAAAAACTGAAATCAAGGTGCCAAAAATTGAGCTACAAACTCTTTCAATAATGGCAGTTTGTGGGGCTGGATTTGTGGCTTAGTGGTAGAGCACTTGCCTAGCATGTGTGAGGCACTGGGTTTCATTCTCAGCATGGCATATAAATAAATGAACAAAATAAAGGTCCATCAACATCTTAAAAAACTAATGGCAGTTGTAAATTTGAACCATTTCTAATTATAGTAAAATGGGATGAATTATGCTCCAACTACTTGTAGGGGTCTTGAGTAATTTGAGGAGGACATGACCCACTAGGGTAAACTGGGAGGAACAGAGGACTAGTAAGAGAGTTATGGAAGAAAGAATGAGAGTACTGAGAAGAGGGAAGGAATGACTGAGAGGTAAAGAATGATTCTGAGCATTTGGGAGGGACTAAGAGAAAGAATAAATTTTTATATAATATAGACAGGTCAAGGAGTGATAGAAATTTCAGTGGGAGTATTTCAGGTAACAAAGATGGAAAACTTAAGGATTGTGTAGAGACTTTAAAGAATTATAAAACTCAAAACCAAAGGAGGTATTTGGGGAAACTAATGGAAATGAGCATGACTTCAGTGAATGAAGACCTGAGGACTGAAAGGAGAGGGTGGGGAGATTTGTTGGATATGGCAGGTTCTGGGCACCAGAAATGTGGATTTGAATGATGGGATTAAGAGGCAAGTAATGGAGAGAATAATGAAAAAAAAAAGACATATAAAATAAAGATGGTTACTTAAATCTTTTCTTTCTTAAATAAAATTAGAAATGCCTGAGAAATTTAATGTTGAATAAATCTATTAAAATGTTTCTTCTTTCAGCAATGCCAGGGTCAGAGAAATATCCTTTTTTTTCTAGCTCCATGGATAGAAGAAACTCAGAATAGTTATTTGTGACAATATATTATTCAAAAATACATTGTATCATATCAGGGATATTGGAACAAGGTTATGGGGGTGCACTTGGCACAATAATCACAAATGTACATGATTGGGGGGAAAATTAAAATCTCCATGGAGCTGAACACGGTGTCGCATGCCTATAATCCCAGCAGCTCAGGAGGCTGAGGCAGGAGGTTCATGAGTTCAAAGCCATTCTCAGCAAAAGCAAGGTGCTAAGCAACTCAGTGAGACCCTGTCTCTAAACAAAATACAAAATAGGGCTGGAGATGTGGCTCAGTGGTTGAGTGCCTCTGAGTTCAATAACTGGGACCAAAATATTTATAATAATAAATAAAATCTCCTTGAGAGATGTACTGAACATTATTCCCAAAATTTATTAGATACAACAAAATTCTGAATAGCTTTCATTCATTTACATATGAAGATTTAGGGGAGATGTACTAAAACTTATTTAACCAACTCATCCTCCTGTCAGAAAAATAAAGTTCTTATTTTTATTCATTAGAACACCCTCACTTGTTAGTTTGGAATATATTTGTTGAGTACATTTTATAAGTCAAGCATTGGAAATGGGAAGAATGGTCCCTCTACTCTGGGTGTTAATAATCCGCAGAAGTATTTTTTCCCAAAATAAGCATTTTCCTGATTTATCAATACATGAATAACTAATGATTCTAATCATATCTCAGCACGACCCAGAAAGACTTTGTATATTCCTTGTTTACAATTAGTAGGATTCTGGTGTTGTCTTTTCTCATAATTAATTCTTTAGGAATTGACAATTCATTTATGATACATGTAGTCATTCAGGCCAAAGGAGCATTATCATAATTTGTGGGATTTCTGTTGTTGTTTTGCATCTCCACACATTATATCAACCAGCATAATGGAATAAAGACTTCCCTTTCTTCTAACCCAGTCTCACTCACTATTAACATTTTAACCTTGAAGTAAATCTTATAACACAAGGAAAAGTTCAACCACAAAAATTGGAGTTCAGATAAAGTTAGTACTCCTGAAAATAACCAGAAGAAAGCATACTTATATGATATTTAACATATATAAAACTCACCTTGAAATATCTGAATTAAAACCCACTTTCGTATAGTCGCCATAGTGCTCTGCAATCAGCTGTGGGTGGAGGATAAAAAGAGGGAGGAGAAAGAAAAAGGTCTTTGCCTCCAGTACAATGTAATCATTTGTAACTTAAATAAAATAGATCCACTGAAAAGAAAGGGCTTCAATAACTCAAATTTTGTACTAGATAGGAGGTTGCATGGTGATTCCTCCAAGGTTACTTTAGTTTCAGGGATGCAATGATTCTGTATTCCCTGATGGATAAGATGAAGTGCCATTAGCAGCAAATTATCCAAGATTCTATGTAAGCACAAAATATTTCATGAATTTAAACTGTAGTGAAATATCTTCTATCCTCACTGGTCTATGAAGGAAAGCTTAAATAAAAATTGTCATTTCTACTAAATGGATTTTATCCTTTGGATAATGATACAAGTTCTAAAAATCTGATACACAGAATTGGGAATTTGCAGTAGTTTTGTGAAGCAGTAAAAAGCATAGATTCAAGGGACTATAAATATAGACTAGTTGGTACTATCTTCCCCTCATTGGCTAATAGTATTTATTTTCTGACTCTGAGGAAAATGGTCATGCTGCCCTTAAATAATAAGCACATATTATGTCACTAAGAGTTATTAATTACCCACTTATCAATTTCAAATTTCTTTAGTTATGAAAATGATCTTAACTATAATGTCTCTTGATATCAATGCACACTATCTCAGAGAGGAATTTCTAATTCTTTAAGGAGGATAGCAAAACATTGTCTCACCCAAGCTTGTCAGCTTCTTCACAAGATTACAAAGTTGAGAGCAGTTGAGGCAAGACCTCTCTGGCATGTGATCTGTGGAATCCTTATTCACAAAAGGATTTTCCTGTGATAGGTCAAACACTTTGAGTTGGATTTCAAGAAACTGCAAATCTAAATTCAACATGCAAATAACATATGACAGAGGTCTATCATTTTATGGTAGGATCCTCCAATTTGCTGTATAACTATGAATAAGAAATTTATAAATTTCTGCACAATTTTAGATCTTGGATAAGGGGAAACAGGGATTATAAAGATTATGTTTTTGTTTTTGGTACCAGGGATTGAACCTGGGACACCTAACCCCTGAACCACTTTATTTTGATACAGGGTCTCACTAATTTGCTTAGGGCCTTCCTAAGTTGTTGAGGCTGGCTTTGGGCTTGTGATCCTCCTGGCTCAGCCTCCCGGGCCATTGGGATTACAATAGTGCACTACTACACCTGGCTAATATTATGTTGTGTTGTGTTTTGTTTTGTTTTAATATTTGTTTTTTAGGTGTAGTTGGACACAATGCCTTTATTTTATTTACTTATTTTTATGTGGTGTTGAGGATCTAATCCAGAGCCTCTTATGTGTTAGGTGAGCTCTCTACTGCTGAGCTACAACCCCAGCCCCAGATTGTGTTTTTAAATATGTTATCATAGACACCATTTTAATTTAAAAAATTCTGCAATACCTTTTAGAGGTAGGGTATGCAGGAAAGGTATTTCTGGAATCTAACAAAGAAGTGTTTTTAATCTTTGAAAAAATCCAGGCTATATTTTTGAATTCTCAATTCCAATTAAGTCATATTTGGTAAAGCATTTAATGAATATTTATATATAAATTATGATAGCTTGCTGCTTGTTTAAATATATGTTGTGTTTTATATTATTAGTGTTTTGCCAAAAAGTATAGATTACAATTTTTAAAAAGACAAGGTGCTGATGTAAATGTTCCTTTTTGGGGAATAGGTGCTTATAGTGTAAATGCCTATAAATTATGCTTTCTAATGTAGGAAATGGAATCCCTATGTCATATATATATATATATATATATATATATATATATGTCAGTTTCATATCAATTACTCCATCAAAAATCTAGATCAGGGGTAACCAATAGAAGTTTCTTCAGTTATAGAAATATTCTGTACCTCTTAATTATTGTTTAGGTTCTTAATGGGAAGTGTAAGATAAACCAAGATTTATTATTTGTTTTTTCATTTCCTAAGAGAGTGCCTTAAGTACTTCACCTACTATGACATTTCATATCAACCTAAAAGCAAGGATCAAAACACTTTGGGGAAATATGGAGCCTTATAATGTGATATGGAAAATTAATCAAATGCCATAAACATAGAATCTTAATGATGTACTAATCCCAGATCCATAACACATAGTTTTGACTATTTTTATTAATGTATGGATATAGATCAATTTGAAGAATTTCTTCATAGTCTGAGCAAATGAGTTTACACAATTACATATGTAATACAAAATACATTAACAGTTTGAATATATGTCAAAGTGGGGGAGATAGGCAGTGTTAGATCTTTGCCTTTAATAATAGTCCTAGAATGTGCTAAACTGATTTCCCTATGTAAACTTCAACTGTGGATTTAAGAAGCTAATGTATGAGTTTAAGTCTGTTGAGGCAATTATAAATTTCAGATATTTAAATTAATGAGTTTGCATTTTTCATTAATGTTTATATTAAAATTATAAAATTAAAAAGTTGTAGCCCTTAGTCAGGCATGGTGGCACATATCTAAAATCTTAGCCACTCAGGAAGCTGAGTCAGGAAGATCACAATTGGAGGCAAGCCTGGGCAACTTAGTGAGATGCTGTCTCAAAATAAAAATTAAAAAAGACAGGGGGTATATCCCAGTGGTAGAGCACCCTTGGAGCTAATCCCCAAACAAAATTAAAAATAAAGGAATTTTTCAGCCCACTACATTTAATATTGTGTGAACCTGTCAGAAGTGGCACTTTCTTACTTAGGGGCTCTTCTTTTCTTGGTAATTCTTCCTCCTGCAATGATATATGAGAGAAAACTAGTTGTGTATACGTAAATTCTGGAATTTCTGACCCTTAATAAAAAATCTCTACATGCTTTGTCATTCAATAGAATGTTGGGAAGTGAATTAAAATACTATTTTCTGATATTTCTCTTTCATGCACAATAATATTTTTATTATTAAGGACATAAATGACAAACGTCTGAGAATTGAATAATTTTTACCCATATAAATATGTTTGGTTCTTGATAAGCAAACAGGCCAATGTGACTAATTCAGTCCAAACTAGATGCTGAATATATACCTATGAGAATACTTTAATCAGTAATTGACTCAAAGGGGCATATTTAGAATATGTATATTTTAACACCCGTTGGTCTGAAATTCAATATGTATTTGCACAACACTTGTCCTGAATACCAGCCAAATTATAACTAACTATAGTTGACTTCCTCTCAGAAAATAGATTTCTTCTTGATAAGTCCTGTTACAATAAATCTGGGATGGTCAATATTTATGCTTTAGTTTCTTTAGTTTTAACCCTGCTAGCTGGTTGACTTACTAGAAATTAATATGCCTGTAAAATGAAGCAAAATTACTTGTTTAAGAACATTTATTGGTGTAACACTGGATATTGGATAGAATACCAAACCTCAGGTATGACATTATTACAATGAATTACCTGTCAAGAGTGTGTCTAATAGTTATTGTAGTATGTGTGAATTATAGCAAGGGATGATGCAAATTTTCAGTGTATGAAAAAAAGACTATAGTAATATTAAAAGATATTTGAAAGTTTAACTCAAATAATATGTTACATTTGTAAGTTACATTCTTTTATTTGGTTAAATTTTTTTCACCGTGTCAAATAATGAAATTACTCAATTTCTGTTCATAAGACTCTGAGAATTTACTAAAGATTATTTGTGTTAAAATATATAAAGCAATTTTAAAATAATTAATCATAAGAATTTCTGTGTGTAAGAAAACGTACTAGTAATGATTTTTAAGGTTAAGAAAGTCAAACCAACTGCAAAATCAAGAGGTTGAAAAATCTGACTTAAGAATTTGCTAATAGTACAAATAAAGTCAGAAAATGATTACTGAGGAGAGAGGAAACTAACATATCTGCTAAAGGAAACATACTGCTCTTCAATAGACAATCATCTTCTCTATAGACAATCATCCTCGTTGGTTGATTCAAGCTTATGAAATTAATTTATCAAATTAAGTTGCTGTCTGACTTAGTTATTAATTCTCTGCACCCTTTACATCAATAAGGGTTGTGGAGACATTTCTGATATTATTTAAACTATTTGAACTTTGTTCAGTTCAGAGTATTTATCTTATTGCCTCTCCTTAGAATGCATAGTTGTATAAGAGGACACCTTTGGTGTTACTAATAGTATAATATATTCACTTCTATTCAGGTTTTACAACACCCATTGGAGTAATATTGTGTATTATCTGCTCTTGGACATGATTAATGGCATGATAGCCTGGATACAGTTGAGAGAAAACTACTAAGTATAAAAACATTGGCCTCTAACAATAGTTAGTTCCTTTCCTGTAATTATAACTCAGCAGTAGAATCTTTGCCTAGCATGCAGAGTTGTGGATTCCCTGGTGAGAGAATCCAATGCTACCAGAAAATAAAAATAAAATAGATAAATAAATAAAAGTTTCTGAATATATCATTGTTATTGTTCTTTATTCTGCACTCAGTGTGATCAAGTGTCAAATTCTAAATCGCCTATTCTCTCTCAGTCAGTTCAGGCCTAAGCTTAAACTCAAGTGTATCTTACTTTTGCAGGTTAAATTTGCATAGAGAAATAAACTTTTTCAGTGAGACTGAAATTCCCCATAATCTGGGTGAATTGTTATTTGAAAAGTATTAGGAAAAGCAATTCCCAGCTGGATGCTATGGTGCACACCTATAATCTCAGCAATATTCCAAGTTCAAGGCCAGCCTCAGAACTTAGTGAGTCCCTAAACAAGTTAGCCAGAGTCTATATCAAGAAAAAAAATAAAATTAAATAAAAAGGGCAGGGACGGAGCTCAGTGGTAAAGCACCCCAGTCTTCAATCCTCAGTACCAAGATATTCTGACAAATAAGAGGTAACTAAATATTATTATCTTAAGAAAAGTTTCCTTTATAGTTGTAGATTTATGTGGACTATAATTTTTAAACACATGTACTGTGAAGATTATGACAAAACATTTAGAAAATTTAAGACAGCTAAGAGAAATGCCACAGCCACGAAAAGTTTAGAAACATTACACGCCCATTCTCTTTTTTCACAACAACATTCTCTAGTGGAAAACAAACCCTTTAAGTAGTTGTTTTAGCACACACAAGCCATTCCTTCACTTTCGTTTTCTTTTTCTAGCAAGTTTTAATTTCGGTATACCTCAAAACAGAAAACAAATGAGTATTTTCTCCCAATTTTCAAAAATTAGTAAACCCTTAGAATACTCATTATAAGTAGGTAAAAATATTCACCCACACATCATTACAAAGACAGATAATTTATATCAGATTTGAACAGTATCCTTTCTTTTCCAGTCTTATTTTACGGTCCTGTTGTCTCCCAACTTTATAGTTCTTTAAATTATTCACATATTATATACTAAATTATTCAAGGAAAAACTCCTAGGCACTTCACTTACTCAATGTCACTTTCATATAAACAAATCTTATTTTACTTTTCCAAAAGAAAAGTAAAAGAGCGTACTACAGGGATACTGCTACATCGATGTTCATAGCAGCACAATTCACAATTGCTAGACTGTGGAACCAACCCAGATGCCCTTCAATAGATGAATGGATAAAAAAAATGTGGCATTTATACACCATGGAGTATTACGCAGCACTAAAAAATGACAAAATCATAGAATTTGCAGGGAAATGGATGGCACTAGAGCAGATTATGCTAAGTGAAGCTAGCCAATCCCTAAAAAACAATTGCCAAATGTCTTCTTTGATATAATGAGAGCAACTAAGAACAGAGCAGGGAGGAAGAGCAGGAAGAAAAGATTAACATTAAACAGATACATGAGGT